TCCCACCCCTGCAGCCCGGCTCCCCATCCTTCATTAAATGCTCCTCTAAGTTCACGATCAAAGTTAATATTGCCCGCGATGGTGGCGCTTTTAAAAATTTCACAGACGGAGGGAGATAACGGGGAGGGGGGGGGTTCACCCGGCTTTTTCTAAAGAGCCCTTTTCCCTCCCTCCCCACCCTTTCTCCATCGTAAAAAGTCGAGTCGTTGGGAGAGAGGGCTTTGTAGGTTATAATAAAATCCTTTGAATGCTTATAAAACTCCACATAAAATCAGGCTGACCCAAAACACGAGGCCACGAGGCCTGGGGCACCTCTGGCTCCCCCTTCGCCTCCCCCTTGCCCGGGCAGGGGGGCTCGGCGGGCGCGTCGCCGCCGCCGCCGCAGTAGGCGTTGTCGAAGAAGCGGTCGAAGGCTTGAGGCAGGACGCTGTTCTTGTTGACGGAGGAGTAGAAGCCCGCGGGGGCTGCGTGCGGGGCGCTGGGGTGGTGGTGGCCGCCGTAGGAGCCTTCGTTTTTCATGAGGATCTCGGTGACGGTGGAAGGAGGCAGGCACTCCCGGTGCATGAGCTCGTCGGCCGCCGCATAGCAGGAGGAGTAGCTGTTGCGGTGGTGCCACTTGCCGGAGGGCTCCAGGCCGTAGGAGACCTCGCGGACCGGGGGCACTTGGGCGGAGTAGGGGTAGGAGATCTGGCGAGAAGGGGCCTGGGGCAAGAAGGAGGAGACCGTGGAGAACTCGGGCATGTAGTAAGTGCAACTGGGCAGGTAGAGGTTGGAGGCGCAGCTCCCTCGCTCCCCGAAATCAGCGCCCCTGTCCTTTCGCGACGGCGAGCAGAAGTTGCCCAGGTTGACCGAGTTAAACATCGTTCTCTTCTCCTGCCGGCTCCAGATGGACGTTTTGGACCCGGTCTTGCGAGGGGGGAAAATTTGGGAAGGCGAGATGACGCGTTATCCGTCTTAGTCTCTCTCCCCGAGCACGTGATCCAAAGTAGATATTGTCATATATCAGTTCGGAGCACTTCGCGGACGTAGGAGGGGTTCTCTCTTAGGTAAGATGGGGACGTTCAGGCGATTGGTTTGCAAACACCGCAGAAACATTATGAAAATCAATTGCAGATTTGTATTCGTTTTTTCTCTCTCACTCCCCTCCTCTCCATTCCACAGAGCAAGCAAAGGAGGAGAGAGAGGGTTAGGGTGGGGTGGGCGGTGGGATGGGCAGGGGCGGTGGCTGGGAGGGGGTAAATGTATTTTTCCTAGCTGCTGCTCTCTTTTCCCCAGGATTGGGGGAAGGAGGAGGGCTCTCACGCAAGGGGTTCTAGCCTCCTCCCCCTCCGTCAGCAGAGACTAGGATGGGGATGAGGACCTCTTTCCCCCCTGCCTGGTCCCGCCAGAGATGTTAATCGTTCACCCCCAACTCTCAGGGACTCGGAGCCCGCCAACCGGAGAGGGGCCTGCGCCTACTTGGAAGAGTTGGAATAAATCAATTATTCCCCCCCCCCCCCCATCAGGACTGGGTGTCAAGACTACCTTTTCCCTTTGGAGAGACTCCTCAGAAGAGTATCTGAAGTTTCTCAAAGGTGAGGCAGCCCAGTAGCAAGCCAATGTTCCAACTTTGTCTGGCTCGCTGTGCTGCGGCAGCTAGGGACTTAGATTAGTCATAAAGGAGTGGAAAGCAGTGCGCCAGCCGCCCAGCCGGTGCCTGGCAAAGTCTGGGAAAAACCGTCTCTAATGTTGTGTTAAATATTTAGTATGGGAGAGTGGCCCTGGGTGAATATTTCATGCCTGACTTTATTGTCAATCAATGCACAGAAAGCTACCTCCACGGTGGATTTTTAAAATCTCAAACCCCAAAGAAAAAGGTTGGAATGAGTGCCATGTATCTTCTCTTTGGGTTGGGGGCTCAGCCTCTGCCTGGGGGGGGGGGGTTCCGGAAGAATATGGTTGCAGGACTAGGTTTGGGGCTCTTCTCCTTAGATGATTTGGGACTGAGAGGTGGGTGGTGTGGCCAGATGCGGGTCTCCAGACAGACCAGCAGGGCAGTGGAAGGGAGCTGAGGAACCTGGGCAGGCAAGGCAGCGCTTAGGGCCACTCCCTAGTGGAAGCTCCCAGCCCTGCTCCCAGGGGCCGCAGCCAGGCCTTGGTGCCGCCTTCCTGTTTCTCAGACCTGCCCTGCCTTCTTCCACCAGGTCTGCCAGCCTTCTGGATGGCTGTGGCCCAAGGGGTGGCCTCCGTGGTTCTGCCCTCCCTGGCCTCCCATCCCTCTGGGCACCACAGGACACATTGGTCAGCTGAAAAGCACTTTATTGAAAGGTTCTGGACTGGGTCCAAGGGGCTGGTGCAACTGTCACGAGCAGAGAGCAACCTTGGATCCAAGGAGGAGCTGTCAGAGTGTGATTTGTTCTGGTAGGAGGGGAGGAATTGAAGCCCCCAAAAGACTCGGCTCATTGCACTCAGGGAACAGCCAGGAATGACCCAAATTATCTTTACACCCAAATTTGGATTAAAATTTGTTTCCATTTTTAAAATATCATTTGGATTTGATTTTCCTTGCTGAGCATGATGAAGTACTGAGGCCCCAGAACCAGATGTGGAGGACACAGACACAGTGCCTTGTCCCCAAATAAAACCCCCCAAAATCTATTCCTTCTTACCCCCTGCCCCCCCCCCCGCCTTTCCAAATTTGCTCAGTCTTTAGAGCAGCATCTGGGGTGTAACTGCCTCCACCCTGGGTCTCATTCTTGGGGTGGCTCTGGAATACCCAGGGATAAGACGCTGGCACCCTCTGCCCATTCGTCCATTGCTGACTAAAAGGCCCTTTTTTTGTCCTGACTAGATCTTCACTGAGGGCAAAGAGGAAGTAGATAGGAGGCTTTGCAGAAGTGTTGGACTGCTTCATTGCTAAGGGGTTCCCAAAAGAAAAATCTGTTGTTTTTCCTTTTTTTTTCTTTTTTACCCCCTTTTATAGGTGACTTCTCTATCGGTAAGGGACTGCAAAAAGAAAAATCTGTTGCTTTTCCTCCTTTTTCTACCCCCTTTTATAGGGTGAGCTGGGGCCAGCGTTTTTAATTATAATGATGGGGAACTATGGACTATGGCTTTTATGGGGTTCATAGTGACCTCATTAAACCTGAGTTTATAGAAGGCAAAATGTTCCCCAAACAGTGATAGGAACCAGCAAGAGGTTGGTGAGAGATACCACTCTTCCTTGCAGAGATGTGGATGAGGGTTCAGAGTCTCAGCTTTGGGTTTCCACTTTCTCCCAGGGTCCTGCTTTCTTCCCCATTCTGGCCTCCAGGGCAACGTGGGGCCCAAGCCCCCAAGGCGAATTCTGCACCGCCAGGGCCGCCAGTGGGGAGGGGGTGCGCTTCCTGTGAGGAGACAGCTGTGGGCCTGAGCACTTGAATTTGACCACCAAAGTTTATTCCAGGGCCACCATAAAAGTGAGCCAGGCAGCTGCAAGTTGCTGCTGGCAGCTCTATTTCCTTGAAACAAAAAAGAAAGACAGAGAAGAATGTCCAAGGAGTTGATGTCCAGGAAACTCTAGGGTCTCCCAACAGAGGCTTCTGAAAATAATATTCTTCCTCCTAAAAGTGAGGCATCAAGTTCCTTTTTTTTTTCTTTTTTCGAGTTTTGGTCTGACTTAAATTTTCAACAACTTAAAAAAAAATCCCAGCAACTGGAGGTTGGTGCTGAGGTCAAGGAGGAAAGACCCTTGCCACTGAGGTAAGCAAAGAATTGATTGGCAAAAATGCCCATGACATGGGCTATGGACCTCGACCTCCCTGCCTGGCCCTAGGTCTAGACCGCTCCTAAACATAGACTGAGCTGCCTGCCCCAGGCTGCACCCCAAGGCATCAGTACCTCCCACAACATGAGACCCATCCGTGGCCCCAAATCTGTTCCCAAGAACCTAGTAAGCCCCACTGCCTGGAGTGGAGGTGGCTTTTTCTTTCTGGTCTCAAGGTGCCTGTGGCCCCTCCACCATCCTGGGGTTCCAGCTCTCACATGAAATCTTCCTCCTCCTCCTCCTCCTCCTCCTCCTCCTCCGAAGGGTCATCCTGCCCACCCCAGGGCTCTTGATGGCCTCAGTAAGCACTGCCTGCCCGCCGTTCGCCGTTCGAAGGCAGCTGCGGTCTGGGCAGCTGCCGAGGTACTCTGGCCCCTGGCCAGGGCTACGAACTCCAGCATGCTTCTTTTCCACACATGGACACCAGAGACAGCTTCAGAAGGGGGCAGCATCTCCCACATTCCAGCTGGGGAGACCCCAGGGCAGCATCCCCCATACAGCCCAGGCTGCCTTGCAGCTTGACCACGTCCTCCTGCTGTCTGGCCTCTAGAATGGGTTGTGGAAGGGGAACGGGCCCACCCCACTGACCTTGAACTGGGAGGAAAACCAGGGCCTGGTAGAGCTCTGGTGGGCTTGAATTATAAATTTGGTCCCCGCAGGGTTGAATCAATAAAGAGATAAACAATAAGCACATGGACACTCTCAGCGATTCAGAGGCTGGGTTGCCAAGGATGCGCCCTCATTAGAAATCGGCTTGCATCTTTTTGCACATATTTCTCTTTCTTAGAGCAATACTGGCTGTTTAATAATCCTTTTAGTATGCTTGGGGATTTTCAGGCCAGCGGTTTATTCTGCACTGGGGATACCTCCCACCCCCCTCTAGGGAACTAGAAGGGGATAGGACTGCCGGTTCTTGGCCCCCACCCCTCCTCAGCCCTGGCCATTACCCCAAGCCCAAAGCCCAAGTCAGACCACCTAAACAGATGGATGCTGCTGCGCTGGCCCCTGGACAGGATCAGGGGAGGGAGAAGGGCAGCTCCTCTTCCTCTGAAGCCCCACCCACCTTTCTCAGCGGAGGGATTGTCCCAGGAGGCTAGCAATGCGACCCCATTTCTCCCCATAAAAGTCCCATTTTACGAGCTGGTTTCACTGGCCCCCTCACCAAATGCTCTGAAATGAAGGAAATGTCTTAAAAGCAGGCTGGAAATGGAGCAACCACCTTTGGATCTTGGTTTTCCCAACCCAGTTGCAGCAGCACAGAAAATGCTTTTTCTTCTGCTCAGGATGGCCCTGCTGGGCCACTGGAGCAGGGCTCAGGGCTCCAGGTGGAGCGGTGGAGCGGAGGCCCGGTTGGACGGGACACCATTCCGGGACTTTAGCGCCTACTTAGGCTCGGACCCAGTTCTCCAGATCAAAGTGAGCTCTCGGCATTTTTATGAGATCAACTCAGTGGCTCTTTACTTGTAATCAGATGCCTGGGTCGAAAATGCAAAAGGGAACAGCCCATCAATCCAAAAAGGAAAAGGAGAGAGAAAGAATTCAGGTGACACATAGCAAGGAGATTCAGTCACCAATAAAAAAGACCCCTTGCCTGCAGCCAGAATGCTGTGGGTCTGTTCCAGCCTCCAGGCCCTCCCATCTGCCTGCACATTTCACCCTATTTCCAGAGCCCGGGAGCCTAACTCCCCTGTTTTCTGAAGTTTGATTCAAAAGCTTCCGCAGTGTGGACACGCCACCTGGGGCCAGTGTGGCCGCCTGCACTCCCTCGCCCCAGTGTGGAAGTCGCCTTCTGCTCATGCTTGAAAAGTCTTCTCCGTTTTGCTGCTTTCCTCTCTGCGGTCTCTGGGCACGAGGGCCAGAAGTTGAGTTACAGGAAGATTCGCCAGAGATTTATCGCTGGCCCCAATCTTGGAAAGCCTCGTTGTCATAAACAGCCATCTATTGTCTAGACTTTTATCTCTGGGTATGGATCGTGCATTATTGAGGCTCAGGAGACACGGGCCTGGCTCTGTGGGGTGTGTGTGCAGCCGAGTGCTTGTTCCTCCCACCAGGGGTTTCTCTGGTGGGTTTAGGAGAGCGCACAGCTTTGTGCTTTGTGCGTGCGGGGCAGGCACACCTGAGTGTCCACGGGCGGAGACCCGACTTAGGGAAGGCCTCTTTGTGCCTGGGAACATTCCGGGGCATGTACTTGTGTGTTGGATGAGAATTTGTCACGGTGTGTTTTGTTTCTAGGGCATTTTAAGTGTTCCTGTCTGGGCTTTTGCGGGTTTTATTAACCTGCATCTGCTTGGCCTGTTTATG